ACTAAATCACTTGAAACTAGTTACAATTTGCTCCCCTTAACCAGGACTTCAAGGAGCTCAGTCACGGTATTTTGAGTTATTTTGACCACGTACAAAATTACCTTTGAATTGAAGGAAACCTGAAAATAACAGTTTACTAAGATGGAAAAATACCAAATAATAATAAAACATGGAGGAACAAGGATGGTTAAGGATGGAGAAGATTGGCACGGATTACAAACGAAAAACTTGAAACATTTGGGCTACACTTTTCAAGATGCAAAACCGTGACGTTGCTCCTCTAACTTAACTGATAATCACTTCACTGTCCTATGTGCATTTGGTAAACAATGTACGAGCGAAAGCTCGTTGGTGTAATTTCATTACCGGGTGGCAAAGGGTGACACATGATGAGGGCAAAACTTAGCGTGTGACGTGCGAAAAGCAACTTAAAAAACATACGTGATTCGTGATTTTGTGGGAAAAAAAGTCATTGTTAAAAGTAGCTAAAAGGACCTGTGACGCGTGAATGTTGTTAACATTTGTGCGTGGAACGGGATCACAACCCCCATCCCACGTCATTACTGACAATTGCATACGTGACATCATCATCAGTGAAGTAAGGAATGTCACGCTTTGACCGATAGACTGCCTCACGATAGACTACCACAGTGACTTATAGACCACCACAGTGTTGCGCTCACCTCACGAACGCTTCAGTATTAGGGCAGATGGTATTTTCAAAAGAAAATACTCACTGTGCGAGTGTAGTGGGTTGTTGAGCTTAGGCATAGGAATTTTAATAGGAATTAATTAACAAGATCATGATCTGTGTTATTTCATTAACTTAACCACGAATGCATGTAACCAGTCCTTGGACTGACAGATTTCCGCAATGTCATATTTTCTCCTGTGCGGACTTTTTAGTGTCGTGGATACTGACATGAAATACAGCATGAATGCTTTGACACAGTGAATGGCGACAAACAAAGATGGTCAACAAAGGCCTGAATAAAGTTATTTTGTTGTTGCAGGAGCTTCAATTGTTCATCAGGTGATTGGATTTATCACACGCAGGGGCAATAGAAATAAATTATCACACTTTTTTCTGTTCGTTTAACGGAGCGTGAGGTAAAAAACGTAGAACTTTCTACACCGGATCTTGATAAAGAGTTAATAACGACCATTTAATACCTCTTGAAAAATGTTTGTTCAAGCAGGTGAAAAGAAAAGCTTCATCGATTTTACATTGCGGAAAAAGGTTAAAAGGTTTAGTGTTGTAGTACAATATTAGCCTGACACCCTGCCAGGGTATCAACATTTACGCAAGGATGAGTCTAATTACAAACTGTGCTTTGTTACCAAGGCATCGAAAAGTTTGGTTTAGTGTCAGTGACGTCAACGAAATCAACAATTCATTAACCGAACGTGTTCACGAAACATGAAATAAGTAAAGATAACACTCACAGCAGAGCTGGCTGGGCACTAGAAAGTTGTAGTCGGTAAGTATACGAAGCTGGTTTGATTGTCTGCGGTAGGATTTTGGTAAAAACATACCTCAGTAGTTAAAGAATGCGAATTTCAGAAGGAGTCGTAAATGCGAACTTGCTTTAATTCAGTATGCAAATGACTCGCAATTTTCCCGTCAGAAGCGAACAGAAGCGGCAGTTTTGAACCTGGTTCCGTCTGCTTCGTGTTTTGTTACAATATGCGAGCGTGCTGATGCTTTACGGAACGAACACGAAGAATTGGAAGGATGACATTGTCCACACTCGTCATGTGAAGTGAAGCGATGTTTTGAAGGCTTGTGTGACTTTAAGTTTCAACTTGTCACGTATGTTAATCACGATTACAGCAACTCCAGCAATATAATCTTTTTCTCATTTCTGAACTTTTCTTCGATAGAAATCCTGTAGCTAAGCTTTTCCGTTTTGGTGGCCCTTTCTTCCCAAGGTATTGGGATTGTGCTTTACTGATATCATACTCAGCATTCCTGCATACTGAAACCACGGTTCCGCGGTATGCATGCATGTGTCTTACATTGTATCAGTAACAGCGAATTTTTTCTGTCTGTATCTAACCACTGAGATTCCTAGATTCGCCCTCCGAGTTTGAAAAAACAGAATTAGACAAATTGGTTAATGCGTCTAGTTTATTTATAAATCTTAGTATAAAGGTACGCATGGGTTGTTCTTCAAGACGAGCTATCTTTTTCAAAAGGCGAAGTCAGGGCTCAAAGTGTCTAGATACAGTTCGCCCATCTCTACACGCAGAAGACTCATACTGAACAGCAGTCACGCAACTCTTATGAACAGATCTAATATTTGTAGGCTTAAAGGCCAGTTCAAAGAAAGATAAATATTACATCTCGCTTTAATACCCGCCATTATTATACACAATCTCAGCATGGATTAAATCGTGGAGTGAATGTTTTGTTTTCTGTTTTCTGTTTTCTGTTTTCTGTCTTCTGCTTTCTGTCTTCTGTTTAACGTATCGGTAATTTAACATTTGTGTCGTCGTTCACGGACATCGTTTATAGACTTTATACATTCAGACGCCTTCTTTGAAGTCTTGATGATGTCCTTATTATGCGGTATTTCTATATTAACGAGCTGTTAATTGTGTGACAATGTTTGCTTTGCTTTTACTTCATAGCATAACGAGCTTTTTAAATAAACATGGGGATCATTCCTTCAAAGAAGAAAAAGAGCATTAAATCGCAGAATGGAACAATTAAGAGGCCGACGATTGAAGTGAAAGAGGACAGTTCCTGTAAGTAATTAATCTTTTTTAAAAAATGATCAATTTTTTCACGTTTTAGTTCATAATTTAGAGCTAATTTTAAGAATTCTCTGAACAGGGTTGAATATGGGATTCAAGATATTCAAGGAAATGATGGGAGAGGAATTGTTTGAGCAGAAGATGGAAGAAGCTGATGAGGTAAATGTGGAGCACAGGTTTCACCAACGATTTTACGGAGATGTGCTTGATCGAGAGATTTCTAAAATTTGGTGAATGAGCACAAAGTAGCCCGAAAGTGGCAATAATGCAACGATCTCTGACAAAGTCAAATTGTAATAAGAAGGATGAAGCTGAATAGGATATAACACGCGGTAATAACCCTTATGGAAGTTGACCTCAGACAAGTAAATTGTGCTTGGAAAATGCAAACTATACATTTTATCACGAACGAATTCCCAAAGCAGCAAAGATGGAAAAAAAACATACCGATGTGAAAACAACACGAAGATGGAGTGTCATTTAGCTGTCATTTATAACAGTTTTGTTTACTTTCCTAGTAGACCTATTTAAGTTTAAGTCCACCAAAGTTTGAACCGGGTGTAGACCAAACGTAACCAAACTCTTAAACGCGTTCTGAACTCCCTTCCCCACTTGCCCACTATTTCAAATTTGACTGTCCTTTGAACTGTTGTCATCTTTTTTTCAGCCTCCACCAGAACCTGGACCCTTCAGTTCGTCACAAATGGCACTCTATATTAAAAAATATCAAACAGGATTTACTCTTAAATCACTGACTCATCCTAAAGGTGTTGGAGCAACTGGAGCACTAACAATCCTCAACAATCCTCTCCTCCCTGTGCAAGATTTCTTCACTCCCGGACGAGTCTTCCCAGTCCGCGTCCGCCATTCTAATCTGCTCAGGTTAGATGACACTGAACTGGACGCGAGGGTCGTGTCTGTGAAGTTTGCCGACAGCGATATCGAGTCACCGTTCGATCTGATGCTGCATACGGGTGAAGAGGCCGCGTTTTGGAGCATCTTTAGCTTTGATAAGATGCTTAATGCTTTAAGTAAAGGCACCAAGACCTTTGAAGAGTACTGCCTCGAAGATCCTTGGCAGTAAGTCTTGTCATAACTAGTTACATACAGTCCATTTGATGTTTCATGATCACGAAGTAGAATCCATTCTAGACTCGAAACCCATTTTCTTTTTTCCAAAATTTAGCTTTCATTTGGCCATAGAAGCTTTTCGACGAGCGCCTGCTTCCTTTACTGACCAGCGGTACTACTCGTGGCTGCCGTTACAATTCAAAGCCAAAGATGGTGTTCCGCGTTACGCAAAGTTTCGCCTCGTTCCTGCGGATGGCAGGGAAGAGACTGGACTGATGACGGAGGAAGACCAACGAAAACCCTGGTAAGACTTGTTTATATTCGTCACATTGACAAAGCGGAGGTTTTCAGTCTGACGTGAATCGCTGAGGAGAAAATTCCCTTAGACAAGCAACAGGGATTTATGAAAGGGCCTTTTATTATTAGAAAGTGGTTTAGCTTAGTGGCTGGCTTTTGAACATCTCTTGGCCTTCACTCGGTTTTACGCATGTTATGGCGATCATTATGGCCAGAGGAGAGCAAACAAAATCGCCAGGAAATCAAGAGTAGATTAGCCACGTGGTTACGTTGTAACAAGAAGCCGGCTCATCATGTCTCTCTCGTCTCATCATGTTTTCTCCACTGTGACAGACTGGTCATAACTATTCATGAAGTTGGTAAAATCATTACCACTAAAATAGCCCTTGAGAAGGGCCCTTGAGATGTGCTTCCAGTAGTAAAAAGTCGAACCTCCTCTAATAGCTACTAATGGCCAGTTTGGCCACCTCTCTACAACGACACTTTATTTTGTAAAGGCAGACGGTCCACTACATTAACTCTGATCATAACCTCTCTACAACGGCGACCTCTCCACAACGGCCACTAAAGCACGTACCAACTGCCAAAATAGCCTCTCGACGACGGCCAGTTAATCACCGACTGGCAAACGGTGTTTACAAAACCCCATATATTTTTTGTAACAAATCACGAAACTTGATCCGTACCTCGCGTCGTTGGTCTCTGTTCCCGTCTGGTTTGTGTTTTAGTGATATATTTTATGTGTGGTGTCATATCACACCTCTACCTCTCCGTAACGGCCACTTCCTGTTGTGGAGAGGTTCCACTGTATTAATAATTATTATTTAGCTCTTATTAACCGAGTCGGAGGTTTGTATGGGAGAATCTTGACCGAGGTCGTGAGTACAGACCGAACGCAGTGAGGTCTGTACACACCACCGAGGTCAAGATTCTCCCATACAGA